TGTAAACATACATTTACTGCACAAATAAGAAATTTCAATTCTAAGTATTTACTCAGGGAAATGAAAATATATCTACACGAGACTTGTGTACATTTATAAGTTTTATTCACAATAACCCCAAGCTGAAAACAATAATTTCCATCAACAGGTAAAGGAATAAACAAATTGTGCATAGAACACATACAGAGAATACAGATCATTCTTAAACACTATTAATCCTCTGCCATTAAATCTTATACTCATGAGATGATTTATACTTTTTGCCAAGAATCAAAAGAAGAAATCAGCTCCCAGAATAGGGTTACATATTTATATACTGAGAGTTAGTAAAGAAGTCTTAAAAAACTGATGGGTTCTTACATCTTACTCTCCCTGGACAAATAATGTGATTCCTTTCAAAAGTATGTTCTCAGTGTTCTTTAAAAATAGCTCTTCGAGTTTGTTACTCTTTGGCTGAACAGCTCATCAACACCACAAAATACTACCCATTGATACATTTCTTCAAGATCAGTTTGTCTTCTGACTTAATATACCTAAAGAAAATTGGTTTTCTAAGCTCTTGCCTCTTTCCTAGATAGTTATCACATACTAAGAAAATGACAGTTAAGACTGAGGTAGTCATCCTACTTTAGCTTGTCATTTTCCCTCACTCCTTCCAACATGTAGCCTTAGAAAAGGACAGTTTAAACCAAGGTTTTAGACATATGTTCTCAATGGGTACTTGGTGGCTAGTGTATTTGTGTCTGAGCATTTAAAAATTATACTTTTCTGTTATTAGCTCTATCTTATTTCTCCCAGTTAAAACATTATGTTGACTTTTGTAAGAAAAATGTTAGGATTTATTTTCTATGAATTTCATTTAGAATAACAAAGGGAACACGAAAAAGTATTTTACAGAAAGGGAAACTAGTTCTAATAGTGTTGAGACCTACAACTCTAAACCTTGAATTTTGGTCTCAATTTGCTAAAACATTCTCTTATGATCAATTGTATTATAACATAATACTGCTTGAGTTAAAGAAACACTAGGGTTTAATATTACACTCCGGAATCGTGAAACTATCCCAGATTACCTAGAATCAGGCTCTCAGGAGGAAGAGGCCTAAAAATCTAAACTTTTAACTAGTAGGTGGTTCTACTAGTGCAAACGTTTGAAAATCCCCGGTTTTTGAAATCTAAAAAGAAAATATAAACTGCAACGTATTTGGCCTCAACAAACTTGTTGTTTGGCCTATAGCATGGGCCTATAAATGCATTTTTTAAAATTACTTGCCAATATCTAATACCAGGGAAATTTTACATAAAAATCCAGATTCAGACTTCTCATTAAAAAAAAGTTAAAAAAGACTCATCAACACCTGCCCTGTACTCTCATAGGACAATCTGCCGGAGCGCAATAGAATGTGTCCCCACCCAACCCCTTTCACTCTCCACCATTCGGCTGTTTTACCCACACACTCACAATTCTCCATCTCAAGTACCTGCTTAACCTCTGTAGATACTGTTTGACTCATGATGCCTATACCACAAATTTATTAGGAGAATGAAGAACAGAGATGATCAAATGAACCCTTTATTTAGCTAGGAAATGTATTAAATATTTTCTAAACTTTTGCTTCAGCTAGTATTAAAATAAGCAATGAGAGATGAAGAGAGAAAATATTCAAATCAGTAAGACTCAGGATAACCCTAGACCTTTTATGGGGGTTTATTTTTAAGTATAATTTTTTAAAGGCTTTTTTTTAGTATAAAGACAAAAACATTATCTTCCAATTTAAATGTTTTTCCTGATTCCTTGCTTACAACATAACATAAAGATGAAAGAAAATTGTAGACTGTAATTACACAGAACATTGATAAGTCTGGAATTCCAAACTTGTCTCAGAATTTAAGATCAGAGCTACCCAAGTTTTCATTCATTCAAGTCCAAATGTCATGGCCAGGCACATAATAAATCGTAATTCTATAATTATGCAAAAGTCATATCTTAACTGGCTACTAGCATGTTTAAACGTTTAAAATATAAATAAAAGAAACTTTAAAATGTGTCTAAGAATTAAGAACTAATGTTTAAGTTTCACCTGTAACTAACTTTCAAATAGGTGGAGCACTTACTTCAGTGCAAACTAGTATGAAGGATCTGAGATTTTAACCATACTTGCAGGCTAAGGAAGTAGTCTACCAGCTTCATGGATGGTGATAGAAGACACTTAATAGTCAGAAACAAAGGGCAGTTTATTACTTCCAGAAATAACATAAACCAAAGAATCAAGATTCTTGCACTGGTTCCCAGAACCCCAGTTCCTACAGCACAACATGATGCCAACCAGTTGACACCTGCAGTTGGTTGTGTTACAGGAGAGGAACCCTAAGCTTAGGGAACCCTAATCTTTTAAGATGGGCAATAAGCACGCCCACCCTTTGCTGCAGAGGGAGACATTATCTTTATTATGCTGGACAGTCTGCATCCCTGCCCTTTGCTCTGAGGGGTGGGGAACCTGCAGCCTCAAGGCCGCATGTGACCCTCCAGATCCCCAAGTGCAACCCCTCCACCGAATCCAAACTTCAAAGAACAAATCCCTTTCTTAGAAGAATTTGTTCTGTAAAATTTTGATTCAGTCAAAAGGCTGCAATCAAGGATCCGCACTCAGTCACTGGTGGAAGACACTATCTCTATCTTCCAAGGCCGTTCCTTATACATCCTTGAAAAAAGAGAAACAAAGAGCAGTCAGTACCTCGCTGGCAAGAGTGCAGAAACGAAGAGACCCATGGAAAATTGTCTCCTGCATCTAGATACTGTTCCTAACATGCAGTTAAATAAATGAGTCTAAGACCACAACCTATTTAAAGAATCCATTTCATACACCCCTTTGACCTAGAGCAGTTAATTAGCGGTTTATTTCAAATTAAATCAACTATTCTCTCTAAAAAGGAAATATAAATTAAAAGTGAATGATCTCTCTTTTCCAGTTACGTTTTGTTTTTAAAAAGAACGTGCTCGAGTATTTGAATAAATTTTGAAAACCTCAAGTATTCTACTAGAAGCTGTGTTTACTTTAACTTACTTTAAATTTTGCAAACCTGTTAACGTTAGTAATGGGAACTACCTGTCAAAAGTCTCATTATACAGCAACAAATACCACAAAGAGAACAGTAACTTCCAGCTTTGTCTACCAAACACAAGAAAACCCTGCACTCCAAATCACTTTGTTCTATTTTTCTTTACCCTTTAGCGTCTCAAAATAAAACCTTCGAATGAGACAGACAACAAAACAACGTCTCTTGGTTCCTTTGTCCCCAGCTGAGGGGAGAGAAGAGAATTGGGAACTCATTAAGGTAAAGAGCTCCAAGTATGCAAGATAGGAAACAAACGGCATTCAATCTGCAATCAATCATCAAAGAAAGTCACCACTTAATCTTCAGCCCTCCCTTCCCCCCTTCAGCTCAGCTCAAATAACGTGGGTATATTCGAGATGATTAGGATCATATGGACCCGGACAAAGCTTTGCGGAGGCAGAGAGGAGCAGTTAACTAGATGCAGTCGGCAAAGAACCTCAGACCTAGACTGAAGGAGAGATCCGCAAAAGTGCGGGTCGCACGGGCCACCCTACTCTGGAGGAGAACGCCGAGGAGCAGCAGCAGCAGAGCGGCCAAGTCCACAGCGCCCAAGCAAGTTGCTCGCCGAGCGCGGCACGCCGCCGAGCGCGCGGGCCCTCCATGTCACCGTCGCCAACACAGACCCTCCTCCTCGCCCCTCCCCCGCCGCGCACCCCGGGCGGCGGCGACATGACAGCGGGTCGCGCCGCACAAGGGCGCCGGCCCCCTCCCGCCCTCCTCCCGGGGCTTCCCCGCGACCGGCTCTCACCTTGGGTGGCGAACGGTGAGGAGCCACTGACCGGCGAGCCGGAGCCGGGGGCGGGCGGCGGGGTCTCGGCCGAGCCCAGCATGGGCGCCGGCAGCATGAGGTAGCGCTGGGGAGCGGGCAGGCAGCGCTGGCAGAAAGAGTGCAGGCAGGGCAGCAGCTTGGGCGCCCGGCTCTGGATGTTCTGGTGGCACACGGCGCAAGTGTCCAACAGGTTGAGCCGGGCCGCCTCGCCGCCGCGCTCCGAGTCCGGGCCCTGCCGACTCTCGGCCTCGTTTTCTCCGCTCGGCGCCGCCGAGGGCCCCCCGGCGGCCGCCGCCGAAGCAGCGGCCGCCGCCGTCTTCTCCACCGCCACCTCCATTGTCCTGCCCCCGCCGCCGCCGGTGAAGGGGGAGCGCGGTCTCCGCCCGCCGCCCCCGACGACCTCCTCCTCCTCCCGCTCCTCCTCACAGGCCGCTCCGCTGACCCGCGACAGAGGGAGGGAGGGAAGGAGAGCCAGGCGGAGGAAGCCTCCTCAGGCCCCGGGGATCCGCCTCCCGGGTGGCGCGGCCGGAAGAAGGGGATCTGTCAGCGGGGACCGTTCCTCGCACCGGGGAGGCTGCGCCCTGTCCGCCTCTCCAACCGCAGCGGCGCTCGTCGAATCCGCCTAGCCCGCCCTCGCCTGCCTGCCTTTCACTCGGGCCCCCCGGCCCACCTCGGCCCCGCCCTCCCTCTCCCAGCAACTGAGGCGACGGCGAGGAGAGCGCCGCCCAATAGTCGCCGCGCCTGGCGAGGGGGCGGGGCCTGCTGGAGCCCGCGAGCCCAGACCGCCGCGGCGGGAGGCTGGGAGGTGGGAGGTGCCCGCCCAGCCCCGCCCCCTCGAGATCCTGGAAGCGCGGCCTCTGATTGGGCCTTTGTGTGTGTTTCCCTCCTCTGGAAAGATTAAGAGTTCGTTTGTTAATGACCAGCCGCCTAATTCGGTGCGCCGGGATTAGCTCCTCCTACGGGGCGGGGCTCCGCCTGGTCTACACAACGCCGTTAATTAAGTAACTGCTTCAAAAACTCTGGTTTTACTACAGGAGACCCGATCTTGCAGGAGGAGTAAACATGGTGGGAGGGTCAAAGGACAGAGTGGAGGTAGTGAAGTGCAAACAAGGAAGAGATAAAAAAACATTGTGTGAAAGAGATCCTGTGGAGGCAGTATGAATATTGCAGTCTGATTTTACTCATCTCTATGATGAATGATTGAGAATGAGGAATAAGGGGGAGGTTCTCTTGCAAGTCGGAAATTTGTAAAGGATTTCCCCAATGAAAAAGGTGAAATTAATTTTTAAAGTCAGCGATTCGCTTTTTAAATGAATAAAAGTGGTTCATTTCCCCAGGAATTAATAAAGATTTACGAATGTCATTATTGCTTAAATATGGCATCATTAAAAGAAAAAATAAATCTCAATACTGATGTCCGCATAAATCATAACTTCAGGATTCATTTTCATCTCCTCCTTCATCCCTCCACACTGATAAAAGAAATCACACACATTTTCACGCAAAAAACAGCCAAGCTCTTAAGGAGCTTGAAGAATAGCCATGAGGGTGAAGGACACAAGCTTTTAAAAAATATATGTAGGCCGGGCATGGTACCTCAAGCCTGTAATCTCAGCACTTCAGGAGGCCAAGGCGGGAACAACCCAGGGAAAAATAGTGAGAACCCATCTCTACAAAAAAAGTTTTTAAAAATTAGACAGGTGTGGTGGTGCACCTGTTAACCTATTCGGAGGCTGAGGCAGGAGGATCATTGGAGCCCAGGAGTTCCAGCCTTCAGTGAGCTATACTCTTGGGCCACTGCACTCCAGCCTGGGTGACAGCAAGACGCTTTCTGTAAAAAAATAAAAAATTTAAAAAGTGTATGGAGGTGCCATTTTTTAAAGTACAAATGAAATGATACTGGACCTTAGAGGAAGAGTGTCTGGGTCATGAAAGACTTTGCTAAAATTGAGATGATCCTGGAAGAACAGATGGATGGCAACGGAAGAGAGCTAGACAACCTGGCCTTCCCTCAAGATCTTGCATTTAATCCCAATCTCTGTAGGCCTCAAGTGGGAGGTTCTCCTACTTAATGATAGTCAATGGCTATTTTTCGTATGGAAGTAGTTTTTTAAATCTCAGTTTGCATAAGAATTACCTGAGAAGCTTGATTAACAGCAGGTACCTGGTCCATCTCCATATTCAATTTTAACAAATTCTCAAGTAATTCTAATCTAGGTGGTTCAGAAACAGAAGCCTATCCCAAATGCTCCTTCTACAAGTCCCTTCATGATTTCATCCGTATATGCCTCTCAAGCTGAAGCTGCTACTAATCTCATACTTTATGCTCCAAACTTTTAATGTTACTCCAGTTTACACATGCTATTCCCTTTGTTTTAGAATGGCCTTCCTTCAAAATGCAGACTTACCTGTTGTCCCCTCAAACCATCCCAGACAAAGTTCATCACTCCCTTCCCAGTACTCAGTCTGGAACCCATATTTTTGGAGCTGCACCTTGAAAATCTTCACGTACTAGCAAAGCAAACTTTGTATTCTAGATTAATGCCCTTAATATGCTAAGAATTCATTACACAGGTGGTATACAGGATTCAAGCTGACTAAAGACAAGTCCCTCTCGTTCCCTAGACGGTGGTGGTAGAGAAGGAAAAAAATAAGAGGTAAAATTGAGGAGGCTTATTTTGAGAGAATTCCATGCAATTTGATACAACCCACCAGGTTAAAGTTTCTCAAATTGTCATGAATAATCCATTTTACAGAAAATTATCTCCTATATTTTTAGCCTTCCTAGTTTCACTTAATTAAAACAATCATACATTTTACTTTGTTCAAATATGTGTGACTTCAAGTCCAAAAAATGAATTGTTTTAGGGTTTCTTTTTCCTTAATCGTGTGATTTCCTTATTTGAATATTGTTGTTCTTCCAGGTGTGTTACAAATATATTTCATAAACATCCACACTACCAGTAGATTATTCTTCCTTAATTACAACTCTCAATCTATGCCCCTCTCTTGTTCTGTAATATTCTGTGGCTCCCCACTGCATCCAAAGCTCTTCAAAATTTCATACCTATGTGACCTTCCTGCCTGATGGCCCAGCTTTTCCACACCTGTCCTGTGCTTCTGCCTAATTGGACAACTTGCGATTTCTTGCACCACTACCACCACCTGTGAGAGAGGAGAGCAGTACTGTATGGGTTGGAAGAGAGGGGCATTAACAAGGAGACAAGAGCATAGATGCTAATGAGAATTTATCATCCCATTCCTGAAAAGGTGGTAGTGGGTTGAAATTCCAGAACTTCCACAGAAGCTTAAGAAAATCATTTTTGGGTAGAACTCTCAGAGGTTGTGAGGCATGTCTAGGCAAAGAGGGTTTCAGGTAGCCTGTTCACCCAGTAACCTGTAGCTTTAGAGGAACAAGGAAAAGATACCTATACCTTCAGATGTAGCTGAGAGGCCTAGATGACTTGAAGCCTGGGAGAATGCGGTGAGTCAGGACCAAAGACTCTCAAACTGTCTCGGTGGGTTCCACAGGGACCAATAGAGGCAAAGCACACTCTGTATATGCCACTGTGAGCCAAGGATGCCCGAGGGCCCAGTGTCTATCCCCAAATATGCCATGCCCCTGTAAAATCCTTGGACCTTCAAATCCCCCAGAGATAGAAGAGAGAGTGAATATTGTGTTGACCGAGTTTAAAACTGAAATGACCAAAAGCAAAACAGAATGTTTCTTTTTTCTCACCTGAAAACATCTGCACGTATTTATTTATTTATTTGTAGGAGACCAGGTTTTGCTATGTTGCTCAGGCTGGATTCCAGCTCCTGGGCTCAAGTGATCCTCCTGCCTCAGTCTCCTGAGTAGGCTAATAATTCCCAGCTAACAATACAGGTTTTAGTTTTTGTTTTTTAGAGACAGGGAGCTCGCTCTATCACCCAAGCTGGAATGCAGCAGGGTTCACAGGCATGATCATAGTGCACAACAGCCTGGAACCCCTGGCCTCAAGCGATCTTCCCACCTCAGCGTCCCGAGAAGCGGTGACTACAAGCGCCACCGTGCTCAACTTCCATTGGTTCTCCAATTTTCTGCAAACACCAACTGGGTGTCCAAAGATTCAATTCAATTCTGGAACTAACTACCCAGAGTTAGCCTCAGACCCCACTTTAGATGCCAATTGCAAGTCCCAAGCCTCCGGTATTTCTGACCAACTTGGCTACAAACTGGGGGCTCCCACAACCCCCTCCTCAGCTTCAATAATTTGTTGGAGTAGCTCACAGAACTCAGGAAAATACTTACATTTACTGGTTTATTATAAAGGATAAAACTTAGGAACATCCGAGTGGAAGAGATACACTGTACAGGGCAAGGTATGGGGTGGGGCTGTCGTGCAGAGCTTCCATGCCCTTCTGAGGACACCACCCTCCCAGCACTTCCATGTGTTCATCAACCTGGAAGCCCTCCAAACCTCATCATTTAGGATTTTTGTGGAGGCCTCAATTACCTGGGCGTGGTTGATCAAATCATTGGCGGCTGGTGATTGAGTCAGTCCCCCACCCCTCTCTGCTCCTGGGGAGCTCAGGAAGTAGGCTGAAAGTTCCAACTCTCTAGTCAAGCCTTGGTCTTTCTGGTGACCAGACTCCATCCTGCAAGAGTCACCTCATTAGTGAAAACTCTGCTGTAGTTAAAGGGGTATATGATGAATAACAAATGACAGTGCTCTCACGCCTATCCCCGAGGAAATTCCAAGGGTTTTAGAAGTTCTTGTGTGTGCTACCAAGGTCAAAGACAAAATATTGGAACAAAAGATACTTCTAGCACCCCTATAACTCAGGAAATTATAAGGGCTTTAGAAGCTCTGTGTCAGGAACCAGGGGCAGAGACCAAATATATATTTCTTATTATATCACAAGCCCTAATGCAACAGGATTAGTGTCCATAGGCACATACCAAAGAAAGGCCGTGTGAGGACCTAGGGAGAAGGCAGCTGTCTGCAAGCTAGGAAGACAGTCTTCCCCAGGAATGGAATTGCCCGGAACCTTGATCTTAGACTTTCCAGCCTCCGGAATTGTGAGAAATAACTTTCCGTTGTTTACGCCACGCAGTGTGGTAGTTTGTTATAACAGCCCAAACCGATGAAGACACCAAACAATACATACGGATATCTATAGATTTAGAAAATCAATTTTAATGATTTCCTATGATTCCATTATAACATAATTTAAAAAAAAAAAGCTGTATTGATAGACATGTAAGCTTGTAGTAAGTTATGGGCTAAGCTAGTATGACAATTTCAGTGGCTCAAACACTATCGGGTTTATTTCTATTATATCACATGGCCAAGGGTGGCTCTGTTTCTCAATCATTCAAAGCAACAGAAATGCCTTCCATACCCAAAGATTATGCAAGTCTTCACCCGTAAGATTGTCTAATGTATATGTTTTAACAGGTAGTACTTTCATATGGTTTAAAAATAAAAATAAAGTAAGAAAACTAGACTAGAAAAGACTAGAAAACTAGCCAGGTGTGGTGGGTCATGTCTGTAATCCTAGCACTGGGGACGCTGAGGTGGGAGGATCACTTGAGGCCAGGAATTTGAAAGCAGCCTGAGCAAGAGCGAGACTCCATCTCTACAAAAAATAGAAAAATTAGCCAGATGTGGTGGCTCGTGTCTG